CCACAGGGTTCCAGCTGAAATGCTGGTTTTCTCTATCTTTTAGGGCCAACTGTTTCTATTATTAGCATTTCCGGTAACAGATTTCTAGTGTTTGAGTTTTAATTGTAATTTGATGTTGTTAATAAGCTATTTTTATTTATTTATTTATTTGATTTATACCCCGCCTATCTGGCCTATAAGACCACTCTAGGCGGCTATATTGTAAGCCACCTTGGGTCCCAGTTCTAGGAGAAAATGGCAAAATAGATAGATAGATAGATAGATAGATAGATAGATAGATAGATAGATATAGATAGATAGATAGATAGATAGATAGATAGATAGATAGATAGATAGATAGATAGATAGATAGATAGATAGATAGATAGATAGATAAATGGATGGATGGATGGATGGATGGATGGATGGATGGATGGATGGATGGATGGATGGATGGATGGATGGATGGATGGATGGATGGATAGTATTATTACACAAGCACTAAAACTCTTGTCAGTCACCAGAATGTGTGACATTATGGGACATCTGCCAAACAAGAAAGGGCACTGCTTTTCAATGTGTCTTAAGCCGGCCAAATAGCCCTGTGAGTTAGTTGCAGCAAAACCAACAAAAAGCTTTGTGGCCAGTTAATTAAAATTAAAAAAACTAACAAGTTTGTTTTGGCATAAGCTTTTGTGGACCGCAGCCTGCTTCATCTTCAAAGACCTTTTAGTTTTGTCATCCACTAGGTAGCGCACTTGCATTAGACTTTCCACATCAGAATCATGACCAAAGGTTCACCATTGCCCAGCCAACCTTCATCTGTGTTGTGGTAATCTGGGGAACTCAGAAACCAGCAAAGCTGATGTTCTGCATAAACTTGGGCTATGCTGTTCTTCCCACACATTGTAGCAATACAAAAACGACTTTTTCATGTGAATATGGTGAAGCAGAACCACTCACGAGCCACTGCAAAAAGACCTTAACTTGGCTGCCTTCCTGGAGCTGGAGGCCGCAGTTAGAAAAATCAAAACAAAGAGAAGAGAGCAGATGCATAACTTTGTATACTTCTATGTATACCAAGGCATAATGTATAACTAAATATAGTAAACAGGGTTGTTGCTTTTATTTGGCTTTGCTCTTGTGTCTTTAATCACAACTTGCCACTGTGTTGGACATTACTCTTGGCATCTTTAGGGATCTCCTAAAGCCTTTTCTAATAGCACACAATATAATTCTGTGTGTACTGTATTTACTCGAAAGGACCTACAATCCCATTTGGCAAAGTGAGGCAGCTGATTTTGGGTGCCATGAAAGAATCATCATCATCATGTGTTGTCAAGTCCATTCTGACTTACGGCAACCCTTTTCAGGGTTTTCCAGGTAGAGAATACTCAGAAGTGGTTTCCCATTCCCTTCTTCTGGGGTAGCCCTTGGTCTGTGAAAGTTGGCACCATGGAGAATTAAATTCTCAACCTCTGCTTGAAAGAGGTGTTTACTGGGTTTTCTGTTTCAGGTGCTGGAAACAGTACCTTGTTTGTTTGTACATATCCCACCTTTCTCCTTAAAAACCCTTAATTGTCTCCAGCATGTATTCCATCTTTACCTGATGAAGATTTGTAGGGAACCCAAAAGTTGATCTGGAAATTTTTAGTGATTCAGTGAAATTATTCATCAACTCAGAACATGCGACAGATGTGTAGTTGAACAGAATGTAGGTCTGGATGAAATGTCTTTTACTGTTGACTTCTGTATATAAGACAAAAGAGGAACATGGATGACCCAGGGCACTTCAGAGTCCGAAGATTGTTTGCATTGTGATTGCTTAGAGTTTGAACCTTATGATGGTAGGAAATGGCTATGGGGCCTATTCATGTTTGTTTATGAATCCTTGAATTGTCCTAAAAGCTCTGAGCATACAGGTCCCCACTCCTTTGCTTTTCACAATAGTTTAAATTCAGGAAACAAGGAAAGACTTTATAAAAATTACAAAAGTGGCAGGACGAGCTTTCCTTCATAAAAACTTACTAACAATGGCAACATTTTATTAATGTTTCTGTAACTTGTCCAGACAGGAGGGCTTGGGAAGACAGGAGGGCCTGGCGTGCTTTGGTCCATGGGGTCACAAAGAGTCAGACACGACTAAATGACTAACGACAACAACAAGCTTGTCACAGCTAGTTGTGACTAACTGACAAGGTACCTCAGCACTAGGGGTATATTACTAAAAACCTTTGGACTCCAACACCCAGAATTCTCCAAGGGTTCCCCAAGCAGAATTCTGGGACTTTCAGCCCACAGACAAACACCTACAGACACTTGTGTTTTGCTTACCTGGAGAAGAGCTTACCTCTGAGGCTGCATGGCCTTCTCTGGCCTTTACTTCCAGTTGTTAACACACACACACACAAAAGAGTTGTAGCTACAAGGCTCTATTGAGGGCACTTCTTCACTTCCTGAAGAAAGACAATTTCACTGTACTGTGGCAGCTTCCTTTTTTTTTTTTTACACCAACAACATGAAGCAAGGACCTGAAAAAGTCCTGCAGCCTTGGAGGTAAATCCTTTTCTAGGTGAGTGAATGGAAGTGGGTTCAAGTTTGGGCGACCTCCACTCCCCATTTTGTTCCCCAAAACACTGCGATGGCTCTTTTTCACGAACACCCTTTTTTATTTTCGACCATAGGAGATCTGTGAATAATAACTTTGGTAGGACCAACAGATCCTTCTAACTCTTTCCATTTAACTGTCTCTCAACTCTGGAGTAACAAAAAGTTCACCATCAGGAGTTCACTCCAAAACACTCGCAATCTGTCGGTTTTCTCGTGGGGTTCCTCAGGCTGGGACAGATGGTGCCGCAACAGGAGTGCCGAGCCCACTCTCCTTCCGTGGCCATCTCTTGTTGACGAGTCAGAGCCGGCTGGGTTCCCTTCCTCCAACAATCGTGTTTCTTTGGATACATATATACCATCCATTCCACAGGCTTTACCTCACCCAACTGTATGGTGGATCCTTCTTTCCTTCTCCTTATATTGTCTTCTCTTCCATTTTTCCTCTAAACCCCTGAGGGCTTAACCACTCTCCTTCCGTGGCCATCTCTTGTTGACGAGTCAGAGCCGGCTGGGTTCCCTTCCTCCAACAATCGTGTTTCTTTGGATACATATATACCATCCATTCCACAGGCTTTACCTCACCCAACTGTATGGTGGATCCTTCTTTCCTTCTCCTTATATTGTCTTCTCTTCCATTTTTCCTCTAAACCCCTGAGGGCTTAACATTATACATTTCCTTCTCCTTATATTGTCTTCTCTTCCCTTTTTCCTCTAAACCCTTGAGGGCTTAACATTATACAGTGGTCCCCAACCTTGGGCCTCTAGATGCTCTTGGACTTCATCTCCCAGAAATCCTGGCCAGCAGAGGTGGTGATGAAGGTTTCTGGGAGTTTTAGTCCAAGAACATCTGAAGGGCCAAGGTTGAGGACCATTGCATTATGATACGTATTGCTGCCTCCTTTCTATCTCTTCTAATGGCAGTTTCATTTTAACTCTCAGGTCCAGTGGCCTTCTGCTGCCTCCTTTCTATCTCTTCTAATGGCAATTTCATTTTAACTCTCTCTCAGGTCCAGTGGCCTTCCATCTCTAACCATCCCCATCCCAAAGGAATGTCCTCTTCCTTCGTCTCACTCTTTTTCTCCTCCTCCTCCTCCTCTTTAGTTACCTCCATCTCCCAGTCCACTTCCCCTTATAACTCCCCCTCAGTCCCTATCAACAGATATTCCTCCACTATCGAATCCTCCCCTTTCTTGCTCCCTTCTCTCTCCTCTTTCCCCCTTCTATCCCCAATTTTATCACAGCTGGTAACGAAGTATAAACTGTCTCTTATCCCTCCTGCTGTGGGTGCTTGAAATGCAGTGAAATGTAGGTGTCTGTACGGTGTGTGTATTGTTGTGAATTTTTCCACCCACTGTAGTCCGTCGCCCAAGTGGAACATTAGAAAGATTTATTTTATTTTAACAAACAGTTAGATAGAGAAGCCAGCAACTTACAAAACTCATATAGTATAGATGTTATGCTAAGGAGAAAACAACAACACTTTTCTCATATTCTCAAACCCCCTATGACAAAGCTATAACCATTCATTTTTTTTGCCAGTAGGGCAGCTGTCAGGAAAAGAAATGGTAGGCTTGATTTCAAATATGCCAGTCGGACAAAAGAAGCTCAAGGTAACTGGGACAGCCTTTATTATTAAAAATTAACATTCAGACGTTGGACAACTCAGCCTTGGAAGAAACGTTGCCAAGGAGCTAAATAACTGATCAGGAAAGTCACGCCTACAGGCTTTTAAAGGTTTTGTTTTGCAGATGTTCACAGAGATAAGTCAGACGGATAATATGAAGAAGAATGAGAATAAAAATGGGGTATCCAAATCGGTATATGAGCTTTGATGGAGGAAGTGGACGTGATCCACGAAAGCTAGGATATAAAAAATACAGCAGTTAGTCTCTAAGGTGCTTCTTGTTGCTGTTCTTTTGGGTGAGAGTGTTTCGGTAGTAAGTCCAAGTGCTTGCACACTTAAGCAACAACTTTAATCCGTGAAATTGACATGGTTTGGGATTCAAGGGCTGTCCAAGCGATAGCTTTCCTTCCCAATTTAGTGATCTTCCTGGGCAACTCTGTACAGACCTGGCATCCGAACTTTGGAAAGTTACTTATTTCTGAATGGAAAGAATCTGTACTAGTTAAGGATTCACCACATTGGCCAAAGGATGCTGGGACCCGTAATCCAAAAAAAGTATATATTCCCAAGAGGCGACCAATCACTGTGTGCATTGGGCGGCTGGTGAAAACCTGGTTCTCTAACGAAGCCGTACCCATATCTACTTTTTCCTAGATTTGTGATATTTTAATCTACTGAAAGCAGCAGTTTCGACACTCTTCCCTTTTTCATATCTCTATGGGCAACCCGCTCGAACGCCTCGCTGCGAGAGACTCCCAGCGAGAGTCACTCTCGGTCATTCCACTTCGCTCCACCCACTCCTCTATTCGCGGCACCGCTCAGCCACGCCCCCTCGGGCCGTTCTTCCCTCTCCGGCCTCCCGAGGACCATTTGCCGATTTAGGCACCGCCCCTAACTGGCGGAGGACAGCCAACCGGGTTTCCTCCTTCGACCCAGGCCGGCACCTGCCGGTGGCCCCGCCTCCTTTCGGTCGCCCCTCATAGGCGGTGACGGTTGGGGAGGAAGGGGCCGCAGGTAAGGCGCCTCCATCACTCCCTGCCCCCCCCACGGTCTTTTGTGTTCGGTGACCGTTTGGCCGGCCGTCCCTCCCCCCAAGCCGAGATGCCAGCCTGCCCTTCTTCTGAGGAGAGAGTAGATGGGTGCAAAGATGGATGAGGTGGGCTGGGGGAGGGAAGGGGAAAGGGGGTTGACTGGCGGCACGTCGGTTGGGCGGGGGGGTGGAACAGCTGGAACGGGGCTTGTCAAATCTTTGTCATCCTGTGTAATAAAACTTGCTCCGTTTTCTAGCTCCGAATGATAGGCTTCGTCCCCCTTCCCTTTTTTTCAGCCTCCGGACCACCCCTGTGAGGTGGGCTGGGTTGCAAGAGAACGGCCTTAACCTTGGGCGCTTTGTGGCATCTTCAGACTGGCACATTTTGCTTGGCACAATCAGGCATTGGATGGCTGTGGTGCTGGAGAACGTCTGACAGAGAAAGCTTTTTTAGTATTTAAGGTCTTTAAGGTGCCACATGATTACCTCGGTTTTGTTACAAAAGAGTTCTGTAGCTGCCTGTGGATGCTGTGATTGAGGGGGATTTGAATTCGGGTTTTCCATGCTCTGAGCCTGTCCTATTACCTATTATATTCAGTATTTGTATAGTCTTTTTTTCCCCCTGAAACATTTGGTATATACCCTGTCGGTAATCCCTAACCTCCCCGGAAAAAAAAACATAAGATAGGTTTCTACAGATGGGAAAGTAGGCTGACAAGAATAATACTTTTGTGGCCGACTTAAGCTGCCAGAATCTATTTTATATCACTTACTACTGCTGCTGCTGCTGCTTCTGCTGCTGATAGTCTTGTATGTACAGTATTTTATTTAGAAGGAAGGCCCACTTTTTTCAGAAATGCTTCATGCGCTGAAGAATTTTTTTAATTTCTGTCTGTGTCCTGGTTTAGATAATGAGCTGTATTTAAAATGAATGGCTAATGAACTTTGCTTTTTTAAAAAAGAAACATGCTATCACCAAGAAAATGCAAAGATATGAGGAGGGGTACATGAAGAGAGTGACTTGTTTTGATAAATGAAGTCATAAAAGAAGTATGACAGTTATTTGTTTTTGTACCTCCAGCAACTATTAGTAGGAAAGAAGAAGAAAAAAGGTTGCTGCCTTAGTGAGCACGCTTGATGTAGGGAACCTAAAAATAATGTAGAATAACAAGGGTCCCCAGTGTGGTATAGTGGATAGAGTGGCAGATGAGGACTCAGGAGACCTGGGTTTGAGTCCCTGCTTAGCCATGAAAACTAACGGAGTGGGGGTGGTACTGATAAAACCACTATTTAAATATCTCTTTTACCTTGAAAATCCTATTAGGGTCACTGTATGTCATCAGATGCAACTTGATGGCACATGCACAGAATAACAAAGTATCTTGTAGATAATACTGTACTTTTATTAGAACACCCAAATCTCAAAATAAGCTAATGTTCAAGACCTGCAGGAACTATTCCACTGACTGGGTATTACAGAGCAGTGTAGGCATGAGAAATAAAATTCATGTATCAAATTTAAGACTAACAAATCAATTACAAGTCTTTGTGGATGCAACCAGCCTCTTCAGATGCTCTGGCTTCATGACAGTTCATCCATGCAACATCCTTCCTCTTCTATAGCTGGTAATTAGTTTTGTTGAAATGTCTTCAAATGCATTTCTCAGAATGTGATAAAACCTATGGCTTACAAATTCCCTTTGTGTATTTCCTCCTGTTTTTAATTTTGGAGTAAAACTGAAATAGCAATCACTGTATAGGAAGCCAGATGAGGTTTGGACTGAAAGTTGCTGTCATTACAAAGAAGTAACGTGTTTCCCCCAAAATAAGACAGGGTCTTATATTAATTTTTGCTCCAAAAATGCATTCGCGCTTATTTCCAGGTAATGTTTTATTTTACAGTCATGTCATCTTCTGGTTGCTGCACAATGGTGGAGGGTGGGGTTTCACTTAACTAGAGCTTATTTTGGGGGTAGGGCTTATATTACGAGCATCCTGAAAAATCATACTAGGGCCTATTTTCAGGTTAGGTCTTATTTTGGGGGAAACAGGGTATTTAAAAGAAAGTGTCCCAGTAGACATTCAAAGATGGAACCTTATATGAAACAGCATTCTTATCCCTTAAATAGATATATAACAGGTACAATCAGAAATGCATTCATATCTTGTGACTGATAATGAAAGTTAGTATGGTTGCATTAAGTGTTATTCTGAAACAGGTCAGTGCACATCTGCTCAGCATGCCCTACTTTAATTCAGAGTTGTTAGCACTTTCAGTACACATTTTACAATAGATGTGGTGTAAAAAAAATCTGTTGCTTTCTGCAATTAAAGACAACAAACAGCTATATTCACTCCTAGGCCAGAAAGAATTTAACATTCCTAGGACAACCTAGGACATCCTGCCAACCTAGCAGTTTGAAAGCATGTAAATGCAAGTAGATAAATAGGTACCACTTTGGTGGGAAAGTAACAGCATTTCATGTCTAGTCGCGCTGGCCACGTGACCACGGAAACTGTCTTCGGACAAACGCTGGCTCTATGGGGATGAGCACTGCGCCCTAAAGTTGGGCACGACTGGACTAAATGTCCTAGGACATCAGTTTTAAGAAACTGGATATAGTGTGCCTATCATTTTCCATCTTTGCATACTAAGTTTCTGAGAACATATTAATCAGAAAAACTGTGTTTATCTGCCCCAGCAGTAGCACAGGTGCAGTTTTGCATAAAGATCTGCTTGCTAAATAAAATTAGAGTTGAGTGGAAAGCACCCCTCCCTCCATCTTATTCATAGATATTAAGTAGGGTGGACCATTTTGCCAACTGTTCTGAAGGGAGTGGAGAAACTTTTCTGTGGATTGATTTATTTGTCTTATTTATAGGACACCTCTTACTAAGGGGACTCATGGCAGTTCACAGTATTAAAAAACCAGAATTAAATACACACTAAAACAATTGAACTATTACTAAGGGGACTCATGGCAGTTCACAGTATTAAAAAAACAGAATTAAAAACACACTAAAACAATTGAGCTACAGTACGGAAAACTGATTAAAATACATTGAATAATCTAAGACATTCAAAATGTTAAAAACTATCTTAACTTAATAAATGGCATTCAGGGCTTCAGTCATGACTGTTAAAAGCCTGAAAAGGTGGGTCTTCAGCTGTTGACTCATGGCAGTTCACAGTATTAAAAAAACAGAATTAAAAACACACTAAAACAATTGAGCTACAGTACGGAAAACTGATTAAAATACATTGAATAATCTAAGACATTCAAAATGTTAAAAACTATCTTAACTTAATAAATGGCATTCAGGGCTTCAGTCATGACTGTTAAAAGCCTGAAAAGGTGGGTCTTCAGCTGTTGGCAGAAAGAGAAAAAGGAGAGGCCAGCCGAGAGCATTCCATAACCTTGGAGCAGCCACGAAGAAGACCCTCTCTTGTGTGCCCATCAACTATGCCTGTGCTGGCAATGGAACTGAGAGGAGAACTTCCTCTGATGATCTTTGGTGCTGAGAAGACACATATGGGAAAATACAGTCTGTCAGGTAGCCTAGACCCAAGCTGTATAGAGCTTTATACAGTAATAGGTAATTGACTGGCACTTGGATTTGGGCCAGAAAACAGACTGACTGGTAGTTGGTGCAGTTATTGTAGCAGGGGCATTGTATGCTCCCTATAACTGGCCACAATCAGTAGTCTGGTTGCTGCATTTTGAACCAGCTGAAGTTTCCAAACTGTCTTCAAAGGCAACCCCATATAGAGTGCATTACTGTACAGTAATCCAAGTGGGATATAATTAAGACATGCTTCACTATAGCCAAATTTGACATCTCAAGGATTGGCAGCTGGCACAACAGTTTTAACTATGCAAATGCACTCCTAGTAGAGTATGGCATAGTTTCTTCCTCCCCACTGCCCCCAAAAAAGATCCTTGCTCTTGCAGTTGCAAGTAGAACTTGAAACAATTGTGTGGGTGACTTGTCTATCATTTTGCATCTTGACGCTAGGTCAATTGTATGTGGGGGAGCAGGGAATAGTGGTGCCACTCCCCAGGTGGTAGAGAATGTTAAGCCAAGTGCTCCCCAGGTGGTAGAGAATGTTAAGCCAAATGGCCCTCTCTTTTTTTGGTGCATAGGGGATAAGGTAGTGCCAGCAAACATAATTCTCTTCTGATAAATGTTGGCCTGATTCCAAATGAGAGCCATTTCACTAGAGATGCTAGAAACTGAAACTGACAGGTTTTGCAAGCAAAGTATTTGCTCTGCCCCTCCCATAACATGTCTGAAGAGTTTTAAGATGACTCAAAAGCTTGAATTTTGTTAACCATTTCCTCAGATTCAACAAGTTAACATATAATTTCCTTTGTTTCTAATTCTCTCATCAAGAGGGTAGCTGTACTGATTGTCATAGGCTGTAAATGTCAGGCTGCACTGGGGGATAATTGAATCAAGGTACCCACAGATTTTACTACAAGTTTTTCAGAGTATTCTTAGAACAAGATAGTACCGGTATCACCTGCTGATTATAACTTCTGTTCCTCCTTGTGTATGGCAGAAGGGAGAAGAGTCATTAATTTAACAAAGCAGATTCACCCCTTTGCCATATGACAAAGCTGTCAGCCTCCAGGTGTGTTGGACTACAAATCTTAATATCCTCAGCCACCATATCAAATTGCCATGCTGGTTGTGGCTGATGGAAGTTGTAATCTGACACAACTGGACATTATTTGTGAGGGAACAATTACATTAAAGTTCCAGCCAGTATGGGTTTGTAAGTATCAGATGTGCAAAAATAACCTGGCTTAATCTCTTGTAGACACATGTAGCATTTCTGTGAAGTCACAAAATAACAACAGTTTCACTATCCAGGCAATGGAAAGCTGGCTCTCAAAATAACTGATTTGTTTTTATTCCTGTATTTTCATTCATATCGAGTATGGGGACATAGTTCCTTTACTGGTTCTGACTATTCCATACAAATCGATTTCTTAAAATACTGCCTAATTATACAATGTTGTTGGAGTCATGACAGTCAGAGACACTAGGGAAGGCATAAACCCTTTTACTCCTACTAAAACAATGTACTCACTGCTAAGTTTCCAGAATATTGCTTCTTAGAACATGTGAGGAAGTTGTACTATATTTGTTTCGATTTCATGGTTGGGCTTAGACAAATGGCAATGTTCTGTCACGATAAACAAAAATACAAACAGGAACTGAAATCTCAACAGAATTAACATAGAAAACACATGTTAAGGAGTGTGCGCTAAGGTCTCTGTAGTTCTTCAGACTGAGAACATCACCTATGAACATTTATCAGCTTAGAATTGTGTCTTATCTCCAAGATAGTTCAAAGTTGATGTAGCTGACTTGAGCATGGAAGCATTTGGAGTGTCAACATTAGGCTCCCCAAACCTGATTTGCAGGTATTCTGTCTGAAGAGACCAGGTGTTAAACAGTGTGAAGCTGCTTTAGAGAGTCAATCTGATGGGATTTATTTGACAAGGTATGGAAATAGTCATTGGCAAGAAAATTGCATATTGTGCTGTGTGTAAGGCTCGCAGTGCTATCTGGGAATATTCATCCCCGCCAGCATACTGGGCATCATTTCTCCTAAAAACCTGTATAGGAATACCCTGTAGGGTAATCAAATTGTAGAAAGCCTGAAAGTCGACTCTTTATCACAGCATGAATAGATTGGATGATTGTATACTTTGTGTTCTCCTACCCCCCAACCCTGACCCTTTCCCCCCTTCCCCTTATTTCCTTTTGCCCTTTGTATTACCTACAATATTCTTAGTTGTTAAAAAAATTTATTACAACACAAAAAAAGAGAATACCGTGCTCATTTTATTTTGAACATTTAGTTTGGATTGCTGTTTTCCTCAAGCTGAATCCCAGGATTTGAGTGACATTCCAACCCTTAATAATCCCCCGGGAGTAGATCAAAATGAACATTGTGGAATTTACTTCAAAGCAGACTTGTGCTTTAGCTTTAGGAACACAGCAATTCAAACTAAATGTTCAAAATAAAATGAGCAGTGTAAGCAGGGTGGATTTACTAGGGAGTAAGCTGCATCAAATGTTTTAGGATTCAGCATAGTTATGTTTATCATTGTGGGACAGAGCTCCTAAGCTTTATGACTTTTCTTCAAGACTTTTTGAAACTGTAGGGCATCATTCAAACTATTTCAGAGGAATTTCATTTGTATATTTCACATCTCAGTCTCTGTTAAATGTATAATTTATTATGCATAAATTGTCTGAAAGCATCCAGGTTATGTAAACTTGAATTACAATTGATTTTAAAATTATTGTTGAAATCAAAGTGTCTCCTCGCTATCAACTAAGGTCAGGAAGCATAGGTGCCAAGTCTGTACAGCAGACTTCTAAAGTAAAAATAACCTGCCCTTCTCTCATGATACATGCTGCCTTCTCGACCAGACCAGATAGGCGGGATATAAATCAAATAAATAAATACATAAATAAATTCTCCAGTATCTATAAAGTTCTGAGTCTCATTATTCATAGATTGCTTGAATGTATTGAGCAGAGCAAGGCTTTCTTCTATGTTTGATGTTTAAAAATACGGTAGAATTATGAATAGGTATCATAGCACTAGAAAGCAGCACTAGTTTTTCAACAATATTGCCATTAAAAGTACTGTAAAGTCATAATAAATCTTACAAAGAAATGCCATCCAGCATCCAATACTGACTTTTGCTTAATTCTGTATATGGCACATTTATATAACTGTAATAACATTTTCAAGTGTCATTCTTTTCTTCCAAAGGGTCTGTTTTTATATATTTTCACTCCCTTTCTACTTGCACACTGTATTTAATTAGTTCATTCCCCATATCCCAGACACCAAAGTGTGGATTGCACTTGCCTGAAAACCAGGCTCAAAGACTGATTGACAGTCTTAGCAAGGCAAATGCAAGCCTTAGTTTGCTAGTTCAAATGTAATAGTAAAATATAGTTTGTAACAAACCAGGAGATAATTAAATGGGGCATTGAAAGATATTCCCTTGATCTTTGCATGCATATTCAGTATCCAAAGATTTTCTTTACCTGTAGGTCTAGGTGCAAACAAGTTTTTTTAATTTCCCCATAGGCATCCCATAGGCATCCTTCAGTCTCGAGAGTGAATTTCGTTGTATGGTATACTGTGTATATACTTACAATGACAATAAAGGTAAGGTAATATGGAGGATAGGCTGTTACCCAAGCAGCAGATCCCCCCTCTCCACATTGCTGAAATGGTCCAATGGAAAGGCAAGAGCCAATACAACTGGTTCCAGCAATGTCGCAGGAGTTGGCAAAACGACACATGGTGCCTTCGGGACTCCAGCTCCAGATTTTGCCTCGAGGTTAACTCCTGAAGCCTTTTCCATGAGTGGATATAGCCACAAGGCAGTGGAGGGTTGAAATTGGAGTTTTTCTTCTCCTAGATGGGCTGCCTTCCATGGCTGACGAGCCCCACCTACCCGGCCTGCTCTTTAATAGTGCGAAAGTATGATCTGACACTTAAAACTTTCCTGCCTCCCAGGCTTTTGCAAATCTAATTGGCTTTCCTATTTACCATATTAAGGCCAGAGATAGAATTTGAGGACATGCTCCTTTAAAGCAGAAAGTCCCACCCCTAGGCCCCATCCCCAGGCCATGTGGTGAGGAAACAAAAAGAAAGCCCAGGAAAAAAAACTCAGCAAGGCATCCATGCAAACATACCTGGCCTTCGCCCTCAGCCCAGCTTCCTAGGGAAAAGGGTCCAGGGTCCTGGGACACGCTCCTTTAAAGCAGAAAGTCCCACCCCTAGTTTTAATTTACTATCTTAATATACTGCCCAATTGTCATTTTATTTTATTTATTGAGCTTATAGATTGCCCACCTTAGTGAGAACACTATTTGGGACGGTTTACATGATGAGGCAAAGTGCTCTCAAATCTGTTTACAAATATAAAAACATAAAACAATTGTAAATTCACAATGGAAACAACTATTTTAAGCCTGTGTACAATTAACAGCTGTGTTCTCTTGCATAACTGTTTTTGAAACTGCCCAGCCACACTAGGTAAAAATATAGCCAGTTTAAAAAAAACAGATTATGTTCCTTTAAGGTGCAAGTTTTTACTGCATCACATTGGAATGTATTTGTCTAAACATGCTTTTTTTTGTCCAATAGCTTATCTTTTCTAAGCCTTAAGCACAGTATTATCAGAGAGGTTTTTTTCTTTTGCAGACTGAAATCTGGATTGAAAGCAAGTTAAGACGGAAAAACAAGTATTGCATTGATGACTTAAGGGGATGTTGAAGGCCATGCTGCCTTGCTTAGCAACATTTTGCAAGCTATTCAAGACACAGTCAAGTGCCCAGTTGTGTTTTTGAAACATTAACAGTTTTGTCTTTGACCGTCAGACATGTTTTCTGGATTATTTTTGTTTGCTTGTCTTCATGAATGATTCCTTTTTGCTGGAACAAGAAACATGCAGAGCCAGAACTTGGTGGAAATGCATAGGAGTGTGAATGTTTCAAGCCAATTACCTTTGAAAGTCCAGCCTGAAGAGATATATGCCAACTCTGTTGTTGAGAACAACGGTAGAGCCAATGGACATAATGTAAATCGAAGTAAAAATCTTGATGGAAGTTTGGACGTAGAAATGGTTCAGAAAAACCTTGTTAGCAAGAGTTGTGAAGGAAGAGCATATGAAGCATCACCGGGCAATCTTCTGGGCACAGTGGAATCCAGCAGTACTTGGGGTGACTTTGAAGTCTTCAGTGAAGTCAAGCTGAACAACTTAAGCGAAACCCTAGAGTCTTTGGAGAAGATACATGAAAAGCAGACTCATGCAAATAGTGTTGATACTGGCAATCATTTCACTACCTCATGGACACAGTTCTTTTCCCAAACAGCTGGACACAGTAGAAGAGAAGCTTCTGCTAATGATCCAAAGAAGGTATATTTCAATATGTTAATAATGATGCCTCATACCAACTCAGAGTCCAGTTATCTTTATCTTAGTTTTAGAATGTTGTATAGGTTTCATTTTCTTGGCGTCACAATTAAGTAACTGGCAAGAGGGAATTGAATCAAAATGTGGTTTCATGGTGCAGTAAGGATGACAGCATCTAGATTTCCCTTTGGTAGCCTGCAAACACGCATAACTGAGCAAGAGGGAGGTGGAAAATGTTGATTCTCTAAACAATTGTGGTGGTAGTAAGGGAACTCCTAAGTTCATATCTTCCTCAGCTTGTTCCCCTGACCTATGTTACTGCTACCCGCTAAGAGCACCTTTGTATCCCCGTGCAATCCTTTTTTGGCTATACAGTTTTGTACTGTTTGGTCTGAGGCTCTGAAGCAAACATATCATGTGAAATCCTGTCTTGTTCAGCTTTTGTCTCGGTTTACAGAAGGCAGCAACAAAGTAAACAACTTAACATTTTAAACAGGCTTCCATGTATGAATTGTGATTGAACAGGCTGTGGAAATGGGTTACAGTTGTTTATGTCTATGAGGACCTCAAGATGATATTGGGCAAAATTCCATGATTGCTTAATCTCAAGTCACATGACTGGTATTTGAATACTTTACTGAGCAAATAAAGTGTTGTGCTAATTCTAGTGGGTTACTTTCATGCATAAATGTTATGCATTTAAATAAAAAACAAATTCCCTTGGATCTCACCTGTTTTCCATTATGATTTTACTGCTGCAAATAGGCCTACATCAGGCATTTTCCAGTGTGTTCGCTTTCAAAGCAAAGAGTGTGACACCACCAGGCAGATTATACTTCCTCCCAGAATACATACATACTTCACCAATTGCTACTGCTTGTAACATGTTTGTTTCCAAGGCTGTTGATGCTTCCTTGCATGGATTTTTTCTCTTTGGCAGTACAGGATTTCTCACTTTAATCTAATTGATTATGGTGACCTGTCTGGTTGTTTGAATATTTCACAGAATTGTGGGACTATAGACTTCAGTTTCACCCCAAGTGTAGTGAAGTCTAACTCTCTGCCAAGGCAGGAATGCACAACGAAAGCATCTCTGACAGGTTCCCAGCCAACCCTTATTTAGAATCTCCTATGGAGCAGAGTCTACCACTTGCCAACATAATCTGTTCTTTTTGTGGCATCCTGTGGCATGTTGGGGCATGTCATCAGGAAGTCCTTTGGATTGTCACAGACAGTAGATTTAAGTACAGTATTAGAGAGAGCAAATAAGGCCACGTATAGATAGATGAAGAGGGAAAATGTTGCTTCAGTCCCAGCATGTGTGTTTTAACAATTGCTGAAAATGAAATGTGTGCTTCAGCTCCTCAAAAACAAATACAAAGCCAAGTACAGTGGTGCCTCGCTCGACAATTGCCTCGCAAAATGGTTAATTCACAAGACGATGGGTTTTTGTGATAGACTTTTTTTAGGAACAGTTTTTCGCAAGATGCCAATTTTGACAGCTGGGTCCGCGCTTCGCAAAACGGGTTTATTAGGGACAGTTTTTCGCAGGACAGTGATTTTGACAGCTGGGTCCGCGCTTTGCAAAACGGTTTTCCTATGGGCGATTTTTGCAAGATGATGATTTTTCTCCCCATTGGAACGCATTACATAGATTTTAGTGCATTCCAATGGAGAACCGCATTTCGCAAGACGATATTTTCACAAGACAGCGATTTTTGCGGAACGAATTAACATTGTCTTGTGAGGCACCATGGTTCATCCTAATTCCTACTGAGCCGCCTAGAGTGGTCTGGTAGTCCAGATAGGCGGGGTATAAATCAAATAAAGAGTGCATAGTAAACATGTGTGGGGAGGGGCAAACTACTTGTGTCCTCTCCTAAATTTGGAGAATAACTTGTTAGAACCAGAGAGATCTGGATGAATTGGAAGATGGAAAATCAGGCTTCTGACTTACATGAAGAATCTGAATTGGTTCCTGTAAGCTCACTCTCCTTTTCAGATCGTCACTACAGAGGGCAACAGAAGTGAGGCTATTGCGCTCTTCTTCGTTTTATGTTTACTGTAGATTCTTAAGAAATAACTGAAAAACAAGCCATGCTAGTTTAGTGCAAAGACATATTATTTGGGGTTTTTTTTACAAAGAAAAAAGTAATATGTCTATATAAAAGGCAGAGACCTCTAAGATAATAGCAGGAGTTGAAGATGATGTTGTGTATAGGAGGGTTGCTAAATCTCTAAAAGAGCGAAGACAAGGTTGGGTTGTTCAGACAGTTCTGAAGTCCCTTGTTACTAAGAGGGTAAGATTGTTTGGTAGAAGCCCAATATGAAAGGATTTTCAATATCCACAGTCTAATAATCAAACAGTATCATTTTCCTTTATCTAAAACTCACAGCTTTTAGCCTCAGTGCATGAGTGTTATTTTGCTTTCCCTAGGCTGTCTTAAGCTCTGAAGATATCATTAAACAAAGCTTTCCGGAAGTTCCTGTACCACAGTTTTTGGAGAAAATAAACAGTTTGGAACATGTGCTTGGTACAAAAACAGAAGATGCAGACATTCCTGAATGTACAAAGCAAGAACTTGGGTAACAGTTCAGTTGTTTTGTTAGATTGTGCTTGATTATTAGTTGTTCTGGTTTCTGTGTCACCTGGTGTGTTCTTCTATATACAGTTATTGAATCCATACCATTTTGGTATAACCATGAGCCATTTCTGAAATATATAATAATACAATCCAGCCCCATCTGAATTACATCTGAATATCTCTATCTCTGTTATCCAGTATATATAACTATCGTTTTCAAAGACATTGTCAAAGTTCAGCTAGGTTAAAATATGAGTAGTGGTTGCTGAACACTACAGTATGCTTACATACCAGCTCAAAATATTTACTTTCACTCTTGTGATGGGGGCTGTCCCTCACCCTTTATTAATATGAAGTTGATAAATTCTCCCCATACGTTTGGGAATGCATCTCCGCCAATTATCCCTCTCTTGACTTTTATATCACATGTAAATTGATCATTAATTGCTATATCCCAGACTTCCCTATACCAGTTGCTTAACAATATACAGTATACTGTACTGTTTTTCAGTTCCTAGCAATAATCAATCTTGTCACTATTAACGGCCAATTATCCCTCTCTTGACTTTTATATCGCATGTAAATTGGTCATTAATGGCTATATCCCAGACTTCCCTATACCAATTGCTTAACAATATATACTGTACTGTTTTTCAGTTCCTAGTAATAATCAATCTTGTCACTATTAACAATTGAAAACTAATACTCTAATTGTTCCAGTTATCTACCTCCTCCTCAAATACTGATAGAAGTGTAATTTTGAGACATAAGGCTAAATTTAAATTCGTTATTTTGTTTATTTTTTAAAAAACTGATTGCCAAAATTTGTATATATACTCACATTTTCACCACATATGGAGAATGGCTATATTCTGGCACCCTCTCCAACTCAGAGTAATTAACATCTATTTGATTAAGTTTCACTGAGTGGCACCCTCTCCAACTCAGAGTAATTAACGTCTATTTGATTAAGTTTCACTGAAGCTAACTACCATCTCCACACTAGCTTATAATTTTCTTCTTTTATTTTGAATAAACATATGAATGCCATCATGCAGAATTCTGGACACACTTGAATAGGCACAAGAATAATGTCAAAATGTATGGTTTGTCTGCATTTTGTCTACAAAGTAGAATTCATTTACTGGTACCATACTGTCACGGTTGCTTAGATTTCTATAGTGGAAGTTAAAGTTCACAGTTAGTGGCTCAAATGGGCAGCTAATTTGCCCTCAGTCAAATCCTCCGGATTGTACATCAGAGACCTACATCAGTGTTATGGTACAGATTTTGGGGGCATCGCAGAAATATGGTTTATTTGGGGGGAACTACACAGTATTTTGAACATCAGACTATGTAGAAGGGAAGGATATAAATTCTTTTAATCAAATTTGGCTTCAGACTTCAGCTCAACGATGCACTTATGTTCCAAGAGTCAATAACATTAGTCCTTGTTTCCCTATCTATAAAACTGGACTGATGCTTACAATTTTGTTGTTGTTGTTGGTTGTAGGATAAATGAATGAGATACTGTAGCTTTTGAGGTTTGGGATGCCTGCGCTTACTGGCTGAGTTGACATCTCTTAACAATTTATATCTATAATATATTCCTCAATTTATTTCAAGTCTTAGAGGGTCACAACAGTTTAGATTGACCTGTTCAGTTCTTGAAAAGAAATTCCTTGTGGTGCATGGATTGCCTTATAGCAACTCAGACACACTGGACCATGTGCTGCCAACTGTGATAGCAATCTAATTCTTTGCTTCCACGGTGGTCTACACTGCTTAGCTACTGTGGGGCAGCCTGTCATATCTATCCTAGCAACAGCAGAGCTATGAATGGAAAGGAATCCTTGAAATATCCAGGTTGGTTGAAGGAAGCAAGGACTTCTAGAAACAGATGACTGCTTTTGCAGGGAAATCTCTGTCTCAACCTCCAGCACTTGAATCAGAAACAATTTCTGATGTACAGTATATAACAAATGTGTACACGTACACAGTCTGTCTTGTAATATACAGCTACTTAATTCACTATATAAAGTGTGAGAGAATTCAAGGACCTATTTATGTTGCTAATTTATAAGGCTTTCGTGCCAGGTTCCTGTGGCTTTCCTTGAGGACTCCTGGGATTTGTAATTATGTGAAAATGCTGAAAGTTGTAAGTTTACCCCCATTTACTCCGTGAGAGGATTGCTGTTAACCCCAGTAATGTAGATAAGAGTTAAACTAACTTCCACAAATGATTGGCAGTTCCCAGATGCTGTTTAAGCTCAATTATACACTGGCTGTTTCAAAAATCTTTGTTCTTTGTGGGTCTCCATTTTCATCACAGTGGAAAAGTGGTTTATTCTGTGCTACATGTTTGATCTTGGATTAATCTGAATTGCTTTTCCTTTTTAAGCACTGCCTCAACAAACTTATGGAAAACCCTTATTCACTCCAGTAACCCTCCCAGTTTACAATGTCCTTGGAATGGATCTCATTACCAGGAAAACCTTCTAGCTGTGCTTGGAATAGATCCTCATCAAAAGGTACTTTCAGAAGGCTGGGGGTTTGCTTTATTTGGGAGAGAGTGGTACAAATGTTTTTCTCTGCTTTCAGTTTCTGCAAAATTACCACAGGACGAAAGATAAGTCAGTTTCCAACACTCTTCACAATCCACAGAGGAGGAATTGATATATTTGGTAACCTGGCAAATGTATTTGTGGAGCCAGATGCTTAATTGATGCTTGGGACTAGATTAACTTCCCAAAAACCTTTAACCAGTTATGAGGAGGATGGAAACTTTCCACAATGAACATTGGTCAGGATATGAGAAAAACACGGGACAGACTAGACCTCTTAGAGCGGTTTGCTTCTAGATCACATTGTAATGAGGAATGTTGCAAAACATCTGTGTATGTCAGAGCTCTTTCGGGGTGGAGTAACTTACAGAACTGATGTACGCGAATTGTAGTTATAAAAGAAATGGGAGAGTTTCTGCTAATGCCCCAGAACAAGGAACAAGTGTTCAAATAATCCACCTAGAAGATATTGCCAGATTAGCTAGTAATGCCGGGGTGGGGTCGCTTAGTATTTTACAACATTGTGTACTTTTTAAAAAGCACTCCAGATCTGCATCAGTTCTTAGACTAATGTGTGGTGATCATTTTCACCTTTGAAGCATGAGCACCTATATATGCCTGTGTAACTCAGAGTGCTGTAACATAGTATGGTATGAATTAAACAAGGCGATAGGACTGCCGTTGATGCCACTGACACTTCCTGTGGTGGCATTAAAGGATGGCGTGCATGCTAAAGTGCTGGTCTTCTTGCACTGTGCCATGTGGTTTGATGAAAATGCTTGAAAAATTGAATTTGAAAATTTAACTGTTAGAGCAGTATGACACTAGAACCAGTTACCTCCAATTCAAGAGAAAATCAGACAACCCATCTGTCAGATCTGCTTTGATTTTGATTCTTGCACTGAGCAGAGGGTTGGACCCGATGGCCTTAAACCCTTTCTAACTCAGTTATTCTATGATTCTATGAAAACAGTCTTGTTCACCATAGAAGGATGTTAAACCTTTTTCAAAAACTGCTTTTCAACAACATATGTGAGCCTAATGATTTTGTGAAGCATGGTCATAGCTATAAATCTGTGAGACACTGTGTTACACCATGCACAAGTCAAAACGCTGCACTCAGCAGTGGGTATACACATATGTATTCAGTCAAACTAGCCTGAATGTCTTAAAGCAATCAATGAATTAGATGAGTACATGTGAAAAGTTATCAGCCAGTGTGTATTATGTATTTTTCATGCATGAAAAGAAACATTTCTATCAACTATGCAAGTGCACATATGTCCTAACCATAGGTGTCCATATATGAAAGTGACCATTGTATACTTGTCTGTAAATGTTTAATGCCTTTATGGAAATGCATAGTTTGCTTTTCATTGGCTGATATCATGTTCTAGATCATTTTGCCCCACATTTGGAAATGATGACCTTGTCTTCTTTCACAACTAGTATAAAATGGATGTGTTTTTTTCTAAATGCACAACTTATTGATTATGCTGATGCACAGTCCAAAAGGAGTGTCCTGGGAATATCCATTTGATTTTCCATCATTCTGCATATCATAACTATAGAAATACTTCTAAAGCACAAAGCAAGAAAATAAATTTCTACTGGCCTACGTATGTAGAAAATCATGGGGCAATTCTTAATGAATGTCATTTTCTGTTTTTTGAAATGCAAGCACTATTTATATGGGCCTGCTGTCTGCTAAGTTGGCTCAAGGCCTATATGCTGGGTGGCTCCAAATGACATGCCTTTTTTGCTGGCACACCCCCTTCTTCTCCGACCATTCCTTCTCCATACTGTCCATTCAGTGGCCCAGTTTTCTTCCATGATCTAGTACTCCCAATCTCTCCCATCCTTGCCCATTCTGTATTTCTGCCTTTTTGCCTGCTTGATCCATCATAGATGAGCAGTATCATAGGACAGTGATGGCGAACCTATGGCACACGTGCCACAGCTGGCACACAGAGCCCTCTCTGTGGACATGCGAGCCATAAGTCGCTGGATCACTCGCCCTGGCAGCCAAACCGGAGGAGGTTGCTGCAGCTGCATCGCTAGTGCCCTGACAGGGGGCAGGCCAGGATCCGCTGGTGTGTTTTTTGTTTGTTTTGTTTTGGGTATTTTTGTAGTTTGGGCATTCGGGCTCAAAAAGGTTCGCCATCACTGTCATAGAGGCTCTGGTGGCTTTGCTGCTTACCTCCGTGTGTGTTAGGAGCAAAGGACAGGACTATTTTTGTTCTTACCAGGTATGAGCTTTGTGTTTGCGTATAGAGGCACAGTAAGAAGGGTCATATTCTTTATTCTGAATTCCCCTGCATACTTGTTGGGCAGCCTCTGTGCAGTGCCCACCACAGGGTCCCTAGGCAGCTGCTGAGATTGTCCTATTTTGAATCTGGAAAATGAGGTCAGGGAACAAAAAGACTGTGTTTGATCAGTTATTCAGACATTGTCCGGGCCTCCCTCTCTGCATCAATTCATAGGGTCTCCTATCCCTGGAAAAGCCCTCCTGGAGGTCAGGAATCTCACTAAAGGAGGATATGATGTGGTGTGGGGAAGATAAACCAGTGGCCCTCTGGATTAGATCCGCATTTGGTCTGATCCAGCTGAGCCTTTTTCAGATTTTTATGTGTCCAACAATACTTTGTATTTGCATGTAAAGGGCTTTGAAACATTATTGAATAAATGGAAAGAGCTAGGCAACGTTTTCGCTAAAATGAGGAAAAATTAATCAGTGTTCAAAGCAAATTTTACATAAGTTTGTAAGTTATATTTCTTTTCAGATGCCGTTAATAAAAACAAAGAACCACGAAACATTTCATTAGTGCAGTATTGACTCTGGCTCATATTAACCAGGTGTATGATGATCCTATTCTCCAAGCAGCAAGTGGAAAGATTTGTATAATGCAAGCAATATATGTTATGTAAAGCCAGGAAGAGTCATTGTTCTTAAATTTTTACACTGTTGTTTCTACGAGGTTCAAGGTGTCATGCAATGGTCTCCGCCTGCCCTATCCTTTCTTTTGAGGCAGAAGAGAGACAGAATTTTAAATAACTAATACAAAGAAGAGCATTAATAAAATGGCAGCAGGGCATCCCCCTGCCAGGAATAGAAAGTGACTTTTCAGTTATTGGTGCCTTGTCACATAAATTTCACAACAGTACATGGCAAATCAGGAAGAAAATAATTGCATGAGTGCATATCCTAAGTTGCATTGACACCTTTGAGACAAGACAGCTGTATGCCTCACAACATATGAGTGATATCTGCATATTTATTGTGCTGTTTTTAATAAATGAATATGAGGAAAAGATGTCAATGAATATGGTTTATCTGAAAGACTGAGGGGTCTTCAGGATCTGAGAGATTAAATAGGCATTTATATGAAAAGTGAAGAGAGGAACTTCATATCTTCCTTCATTTCTTAAAAATCTGTTACACTTTCCTTTGCCCTGATAAGTTTAATGTCCAGATTCCTTTTGGCATTTATGCCAGCAGAAATATAATTGCATACATCAGAGAGGAGAACTGCTGCCAATTAATGAATTGCTGCTTGCATTCCCAGTCTTGGAGACGTAGCACAAGTGGAGGAAGTACCCGACGGATTATAACTGGATAGCTGTTAGGGTCGCGACTAACCTTTACCTGGCTAAGTTAAAGGCTGCTGCCCATACATACTTCGCTAACTGGATAAGCGAAGCGTCCAACCAGTAGGCGGAGTTATTCCATATAGTGCGCAACCTATACGGAATTGGTCTGAGTGATGGGCTTCCCCCTAGTTTTTCACCGGACCAATTTGCAGCATTTTTAAAATCTAAAGTGGAGGCCATCGGCTGGGAGCTCTCTCCTTTTTTGAATGCAGTGAGTCGAGCAGAGATGTCCAGCACGCCACCTTTTCCGGTGATCCTCAATCGCTTTCAGCCTGTGACGGTGGATACTGTGGGCAAAGCGCTTGATCGCTGCCGTGCCACCACCTCCTCCCTTGACCCTTGCCCGGCCTGGCTGATCAAAGCAGCCAGGCCGATAACAACAGAATGGGCCACAGCGATAATTAATGAGTCTTTCCTTGAGGGCAGGGTTCCTCCTGCCCTCAAGGAGACACTCATTAGGCCCATAAGAAAGAAACCTAATTTGGCGGCGGACGAAATTGGCAATTACACGCCCGTCGCCAATGTTTCTTCCATTAGTAAAGTGGTGGAGAGGGTGGTGGCTGACCAACTTCAGGCTCTTCTGGATGAAACAGATGCCCTGGATCTGTTTCAGTCGGGCTTCAGGCCGTGCCATGGTATAGAAACGGCATTGGTTGCCCTGTATGATGACCTGTTGAGGGAGGCTGACAGGGGTAAAATATCTCTGTTGGTTCTTCTTGACATCTCGGCAGCCTTTGATACCGTTGACCACGGTATCCTCTTGGGGAGGCTCTCCGAGTTGGGAATTGGTGGCCTGGCACTTGCCTGGCTCCGTTCCTTCTTGGGGGACTGTCCCCAGAGAGTACAGCTTGGGGAGAGTGTCTCGGCCCCGTGGAGTCTCAACTGTGGGGTTCCACAGGGGTCGATTATCTCCCCAATGCTGTTTAATACCTATATGAGGTCGCTGGGCGGGGTCATCAGAGGGTGTGGGGCATCGTGTCATCAGTACGCTGATGACACCCAGCTCTGCATTTCCTTTCCAGCCACTGCAGGAGATGTTGTCCTGTCCCTTCAGCGCTGCCTGGAGGCCGTACTGCAATGGAAGCAGGAAAATGGACTGAGGCTGAACCCAGACAGGACGGAGGTTCTGAGGGTGGGTGCCCCCACCGTCGGTGGCTTGGGCGACTCTCTCTCATTTGGGGGGGGTAAACCCTTGCCGCAAAGAGTGGGGTCCGCAGCCTGGGGATCCATCTGGACCCAGCGCTCACCATGGAAACTCAGGTGGCGTCGGTAGTCCGCACCGCCTTTTTCCACCTGTGGCGGATTGCCGGCTGTGACCCTATCTCGATACGGGGGGCGCTCACTACCTTGGTGCACACGCTCGTAATCTCCAGATTAGACCACTGCAATGCGCTCTACATGGGGCTAGCTTTGAGGTTGACGCAGAAACTGGCGGCGCCCAGACTCCCTACTGGAGCAAGAAAATTCCATCATATTTCTCATATTCTGGCTGCGCTGCACTGGCTGCCTGTTCGTTTCCATACTGACTTCAAAGTTTTGATTCTTACATACAAAGCCCTAAACGGTTTAGGGCCTCGATACCTGGCAGAACGCCTGCTCCCACCAAGTTCTACCCGTGTTGCTCGTGCGAGTCAGGAGGTGAGGCTGAGGAGCCTGACGCCGAGGGAGGCCCAGAAGGAAAAAACAAGAAACCGGGCCGTCTTGGCGGTGACTCCTCGCCTCTGGAACAACCTACCTCCGGAGATTTATGCGGCCCCCTCGCTGGGTATCTTTAAAAATCAACTAAAAACGTGGATGTTTTGGCAGGCCTTCCCTCCAGTTAACTCCTGAGGTTTTCCTTCCCTCTCTTCTCCTACTGTTTGTTTTCTATCTCGTTGAATTTGCCCATTGTTTATTACGTAATAATTTTATATCTATTTGTGTATTTTATGTGTATTTTATTTATGTTGTTAACTGCCTAGAGTGGTCATAACTGACCAGATAGGCGGGATATCAATTAAATAATTAATTAAATAAATTGTGTCAAATCAAATGACTGGCATGCGGTCAGGAATTGTAGCAGCAACTCATGGATTAGCAGTAATTCATCACCACATTTTTCACAATTTTACTTAAGGCTAGTTTAAACCCCCAGTAAAATTCCAGTCATTTTCTCTTGTGTTTTTCTGTTCTCACTTTTGCAGCATTGGCTTCTTTCAGACGAGGCCAATGGTAGTCAGAATTTAATGAAGTCGTGACATTTCAGAGTAATGGGTTTGTAGAACCCGGATTAAGTAGAAGTATTTTTTGCTGTGCTTTGTTTTGCTAGGTGCTTCCAGAAGGTAAGGATGATATTTTGGAGAAAACGAATATAAGAGAAAATGAAGACTCCAGTGTGGATAAGTGCAATATTAGTAAAGCACTCATACAAACCAAGGTAAGAGGAGGTGTGGAAGAAATATATCAATCTTTGTTTGTATAATCATTTCTTTTTTACTGAAAGAAAGTATCAAAGTTCTTAAACATCAGTGATAAATGTGCATGTTGGTATTTTCTTTACATATGTTTTAGACCAGTGGTCCCCAACATTTTTGCCTCCACAGACCAGTTTAGCATGTGGGGGGGATGGGGTGGCAGGGGCATCTGTGCATGTGTGGGAGGAGCCATGCATGTGTGGAATGGGTGTGCATGGATCTGCATGTGCGGGGGAGGGGGGGAGAAGATTTGTCTCCAGAGACTGGAACTGGTCTATGGACTGGGGGTTGGGGACCCCTGTTTTAGAACATGAGATTTCCTGGGCATGAAACATCTTTATTATCCCACCACCTGAACTAGAACCATCCTAGTAAAAGTTACAGTGGAGAAGTTGAGCTAAGAGAATTTTTTTCAAAGCTCTCTGGGGACTTCCATGGATAAATATGGAACCCAGGTCTTCTCATTGAAACTATAGCACACTTTGTGTTGCATTCCTCTGGCTGTGTGTATATGTCAAATCTCATGTGTGTGAAATTGTGATCATGTGACATACGAGAGAGGCCTGCATCTAAGCTGGTAGAAGGTTCTGGTACATTGGTGGGTGATCTCCAGAGGTCTAGGGGGATGCACATGCAATCCCAGAACCTTACTCACACCCATGACCCCAGGCCTATTTTTTTTACTGAAAAAAGTTCCCTTGCAGCCTCTAGTGACCAAAAAATGTTTTTTTGGGGGAAAATTAACATGAGTGCATGCTCAAGGACCCCTAAAAGCATGGCAGAATTGCTCCCCATGCATACTAGAGAACACAAGGAAATTTATTGAAGCTTTCTCCTAAAAAACATAAATTTTGAGAGAGAGGTGCTGGGGCGCAGAGGTGATAGGAGATATATTTGATTCCCGGGGGGGGGCACACGGTCCTCATCCCTGGTCTTGCGGATCTGTAATTTTAGCATCCGCATACCTTTGCTGACACTGCATTACATCATGGAATTGTAATGAGTTGTATCTGGCATGGTGGGGTCTTCTGTTATACTTTCCAGGCCCAGGGAATAACTTCTTGCATATCCAGTGGTTCTTCTTTGTTGCATCTGTGACTCACACAAATCCCTCCCTATTGTTGGAGGAGGGGATTGAGAAGCTAAAAGCTTCTGTATCAGCATCGAATACTGTTCTAGTTGTGTCTCTGGTGTGCTGAATAACTGTTGGTAGAAGGCAAAGCCTGCATGGTCCAAGGCAAGGCCCAAGCAATAAGTGCCTTCTTATTGCTTTATCGAGGCTGTATGAAGAGGTCACTTTTGACCCATCTGAATAGCTGCCTGTAATGACTTCTCCCAAAATGTCTAAGTTTGAATTGGCAGAATTTAAGGCAAAAAACAAAACAAAAAGGCACCAGGAATGGACCTTTGTAGCGGTGATTTTCAGTCATTATATATATCCAGGCATGCCTCTACAGTTTATATATGTATGTATGTATGTATGTATGTATGTATGTATGTATGTATGTATATGTATATATATGTATGTATATATGTATGTATATACTGTATATACTGTATATACTGTATATATATATACTGTATATATATATACTGTATATACACACACACACACGCACGCACGCACGCACGCATGCATGCATGCATGCATGCATGCATGTATGTATGTATGTATGTATGTATGTATGTATGTATGTATGTATGTATGTATGTATGTATGTATGTATGTATGCATGTATTTAAAATAAAACTGTAGAGGCATGCCTGGAGACACCAATGCCTTTTCTGGAGTCTTACCAAAAGAGAGATTGGCCTAGGCCCTCAGACAATAAACTTGGCAGAGAACCTTAGGAGGAGAAACAGCCAGCAGTACTGAAATATACAGTGATGAATAGCAAGAGAGCCATAAAAAGGACCAATGAGGTAATGGTGTCAAACTGGTCTTTCAAGTACTGAAATACTAAGTGATTCAGAGAGTTGGGTTCCCCATTTCCAGAAGAACCATAACATGAGAAGAGGAGAGCTCTTTGTCATGCGACTGAAAGAGCATTAATTGTGGGAAGGGAAAATGGTACTAAAATGAGAGACGCAAGGTGACAATACAGTGAAGAATCTCCCAACAGATTGTTGTGTGTGTGGAGTAGCATCTTTTATGAAGCTTGTTGAATGGCAAATCTTTTACCCTGTTTTCAAGCAGACTCTGCCAGAACTGAGTGCAGCCCCTTAGTATTAGTGCGTCCTGTGTGCATGGGAGAATTCAGTCTCCTGAAGATCTAACATTTTGTCTTGGGCAGGACAAAGTGTGTATGTGTAGGGGATGGCAGGGAAAACATACTTAAGGATTAGGAGCTTGTCTTATGACCACCACCACCACCCACTCCCATGTTCTGAAGCTGGGAGGAAGGAAGGCAAGCTTCAGCTACACAGAAGCTGTCTGGCCAGAAAATAACACAAACAGTTAAACAGTCCACAGCAAACTGCCAGCTTTTTGTCTCCCTGAAAAAGACGGGGTGATTATAAGAACTGAAGGCACCAGTATGCTCCCAAAGCAGCTGCACCAACCAGCTACTGCTGTCCTTTCCCTCAAAAAAAGGCTAGTATGGGGTTTTGCTGGCCTTGATGCCTCCCATCAGTGGCATCCAACCCAGCACATTTTATACTGGACGGTCCACTGGGAAAGGTCAGAGGGTGCATCCTGGGTAGCACTGTCCGTTTACACAGGGGCATCCTTGCGTTGCCTCCATCCAAGGAGGCCTCTGAGAAACAAATTACTCTGTACCTGTTTTGTGTGACTAGCTCTTTTGTGATTGGTTGGAGCCTGTCGGAAGCAAGAGGAAAAGAGAAGGGGTAACATTTTAAACTGAGAGCCATTAGCCCGGCATCACTGTGAGATGGGCCTATACAGGAGACCTTAAGACTTGTGGAAGGACGTATTTACAGAGATATTTAGGTCTGTCTATTTGTATGCCAGCTTTCTCCCAGAATTTAGACCTGGTCGTACAGGACTAGTGGGGCTGATGCTGCTGGCAGGCACACCTAGCCACAGAATATGCATGGTTACATGTCTCAGGTGCAGGGAAAAACCAACCCAAAATTTAATGGTCAAGTCTCACATATAATTATTCTGTGTTACATAGCATTCTGGTAGGTCTAGTGATGAGTAAAAGCCAGGCAGGGAAAAATATCGGTAGCGTACAAACAAATGGCCTAAGGGAATGTTAGCCAGTTCTCCAGTTTTTCAGAACCAACAGAGGACTGAGTGATAAAGAAGAGCTATTGTTAGAAAGATGTATCAAGCCCAGCTAAATTAAGCTTCAGAAATACATGTCTCTGAATTTTATTCCTGTCAAGAATTTAGGCTTGGCTCTAAATCTCTTTAGATATACAACTGTGGCAAGCCTTGATTTACTGCCGTGCATGGTGTGAATGGCCCTCATGTGGATTTTTCCCTTTTGTTTTTTTTAAAACAGCTTTCTGTTTGTCCTGATCCAAGACAGAGCCATCTTTTTAGATATAATCTCTTCTTGAAGAAAACCCCACCCACAGGAAATATGCAATATATAACTGTTCCACAAAAGAAGAAGATTTTTACTACACAAAACCTACGGATGAAAATGTTCAACAGCAATGTTTGCTAATGTGCAAGTAATTTGTGTCCTTTTGTACAAAAGAGTAAAACCTCATATATTGTACAACTAATTTTAAGATGAGAAATGCTTTGTGGAGAGAAAACAAAAACTCGATTGGTGTGTTTTGCTTTATTCTGTGGCCAGGGATATGACTTTTGTTGTGACACTACCAAGAGCTGCAAAGAAATCATGAAATTATGCCTCATGATAAACTAGCTAGAATTGTAGTAGAAATGGACATGCCCACATATAATGATTCTGGCTATGATGCAAACAGCCTTTTAGGATTGAACGCCATTTTTTCAAACTCTTCTGTGTGCTATATTAAAATGTGTGTTGTGTACATTGTCACCTGTCCCCTATTTCAGTATAGGCCCTGATAACCTGTACAGGTAGTCCCTGCCTGAATTACTAGTGATCTCTACTTGCACTGTGGTTCCCCCACTGATATAACTTTTTGCCTTGTTTGGTATTCCCCCTTCTGTAGAGCACATCAGAAGACACTTTGATTCTTAGTTTTACAACTTTTTACAACTTTTGCTTCTGCAGCCGGAGATTAATATCTGCTTCATACAATTGGTCAGCAATTTGAGTGGACCAGATCTATTCCTCTGTAGCTTGATGGCATAGTTAAGTGTGTTGAATGTGCCACTGTTGTTGGGATTTTGTAAAAATTCTTCAAGGGATTATCAGATATGTAAATGATGAGTTCGGTCTTCAGCTATTCAGTTTGCTCTGACAGCTGCAGTTCCTAGGTTACATAGGGCCAGTTTTGTCTCTTGAAACCAGGATACATTAGTGACTGGCAGACTTTTAATCACCAGGAAACCTTGTGCATGTGACACATAGTAGTGCACTTCCTGAACCGTGTGTACCCACATAACACTCTCCTGTAGTTGCACATTTCATGAACATTTGGGAAAATTTGTTTTCAAATATGAATTATCTCTAGAAACCCAGAACCCTGATTACTAGAAAGAAAGATTTCCTTTAAACTAGGGAGCATTGTTGAAACATCCATGAAGTAGTACCACTGTCTTTTAAACTTCATTAGATCACTGGCGTTCCCACTATTACTCCTACACTGCTTTAGTATCCCTTTGCATTCACACAGTGTTATACTCCCATGCCATGTCATCTACATGCTAACATCACAGGTAGAGCTCTTTAAAAAAAAAAAACAACTCCACAACTTTTGGAAAATTACATGCTAACATCACAGGTAGAGCTCTTTTTTTTTAAAAAAAAAACTCCACAACTTTTGGAAAATTGTATTGCCAGAAAAGACCTGGCATAGGGGCAATTGCTTATTTTTTTCTCACTTCCTCTACCTCTCCCATGCCTTTAAGACAGTTTACCTTTGTATCCTATAGAGAAGACAAACAACTTATCTTGCTCTTGTTTTTTAGTTATATTACATTTTGAGGCTGTTTTAAGACTGTGAAATCTTAAGGCAGATACCTTCCAAGACATCTCCACATCTCTAGACGATGTGATATTCCAACTCCTCTCTGGCCCAGTCACTATAACCAGTGGCCACAAACAATAGAAACTGTTGTTCTCATTAGCCGGAAAGCCACAGGTTCTCTGCCTTGCTCTAAGAGCTTTTAATCAACTGGTTTATTCACATGTGTTGGTTTCTCTTGTAGACTGTATTCTCTTGCCTCCTAGGAGAAATGATGAGAGGGGTGAGGATTTTTCCAAGGGCTGCAGTAAATGCCGGTATGAATGCAGCCTACTTTCGACTCCTCAGTGTGGTTAAGATCTGTGGGAGTTGTGTTCTCACTGCTAGAATAAAATGTGCGTGCTGACAGTTTAGAAGAAACTGTTCTATGTACTTATTATTCATTTTAATAGCAATCGTTCAGGTAAGCTTCCAGCTGCATTTGTTTAGAAGCTGTTTAGTAATGGGTATATGGTGGAAAAGTACATAGTAATGGAGGCAAGCTCTCACGGGTTGGACAGTCCTTGTGAACTTTGAAAAATCCAGGTGTGTTATAGGACAGTTGACAAAGAACCTAACAAGTCTGCACTGATATTTTTAAAAATGTCTTTAATAAAATGTTCACAACATCTTGTTTCCCTTTTCCATGTTTTTCCCCACCAAGACTAGGAGTTAAAATTTAAGACATCCTGATGGCCTTAATAAAATTTCTACATACAGAGAAAGCAAACTTTCAGTACCTTTCAAGCCACTCTCTTGTGTCTCAACAGGGATCATTCCCAGAACCTGCTGTGACCCTTTTAACTAGAAATGCCAGGGACTAAATGTGAAACTTATGTGTGCAAAACATGAGCTTTATTGCTGAGCTGTGCAAAGAGTACAGTCTAAGCAGATGTTCATGAAACAGTTGTCATCCAATTTTACTGCATTACACCTTAAGATTTGCTAGCATCAGGTCAGAATCTTTAAGTCTGACTTCTGGTAATACTGGGGAATTAAAACATCTGTTTTAAGAGATAACAGTGTGGAGAACAATATTATGGTTTCACTTCAGAGGCAATAAGTTTGGGCTGGATACAATCAATCTAAAAGAACCTCCTAAGATTTCTCCCTTTTGAGGTGGTTTTTTGTATATTATCTGCAATCTTCCTATAGTTACCTTATTTCATGCCATTACCCGAGGGAGTCTTGTTCTAGTCCTCAACCACACAATATCCTTTGGATGGGAAATGACGTTTTCTCTCTCCTGCTCCACATTTACTGTCATGGAAGCTGGATTGCAAATGTCCTGGCACAACTGCTTGAACAGCTAAGAATGTCCAAATCATTCTGGCACCTCAAGTGTTAGGTGTCAGAGGTAGTGCTTAGTTTTTGCAACCAGTCATCCTTGTGCTCTCCAAACCCCTTTAAGTTGCAGTCTCCCGTCCCCACAGCAAACTGTGCTTACCAAACCTTTGGAAACCTCTAAAGAGCAGTCAGGTGGGATTAAGCAACTCTTTCCAAAGGCACTGGAAAAATTAGCTGTCAGGATATTCATAAATTCATCACCTGGCAAGTTGTATGCCACTCTGTCTCCTGGTCAGAGAGATGACCTTTTTTAACAGTTGCCCATCAAATAACTAACTTGCAAGGAAAGAAAATTTGATTTCAATAATAACCTGAAACTGTGAAAGTGAAAAGTTACTCGGCAACTCCCGCAAAAAGAAAATTTATCTTACAGTAGCAATCAGCACACTTTCCATCAGCAGCTGGAAGTTGGTGTACATTCTGTCCTTCTAACTTGTGTGCTGCTGAAAAAACAGCCTCCAAGAGCAAGTTCATTTTCCTATAGTAATGTTATTAAGTTCTTAGTGCAGGAAACAGGCACTACAATGAACATCTCTCACTTTTCTCTGTCCCCTTGATGGCCTTTGGTAGCACTGGCCATTACATGATGGCTGCCTTGGAACAGTAAGTGCTTCTAACATGAAAAGAGAAACATGTAGGATCTCTCCGTTTTCAAAGCATGTGGAAGCATATAACAAATTATGAAATGTACATTGATCTGAGAACGATATAGGAATCGCACATAGCTTTTAAACTATTGGTGTTCCTCTTTTTTTTTTTTGAAAGAAGTCACACATTATAGACTCTGACCACTGGTAAGAAGTAGAGCCTAGCTTTCTCGTCACCACCTCTGCACCTCCAACAGTCCTTTCCTACACATTTCTAAAAGGGGTTTGGCCAAATGTTGGGAGAAGATGGCAATCCCATAACTATGGAGGACATCGCCACAGTTTTTTTGGCCAAGGAGAATCTAGATTCTCCCTTTGAACCAAAAGAGTCAGGCTTACTTGTGGAAAACCAAAATGAATACTGCCCAGTATCTAAAACGTGCAAATAACATATTTAAACTTAATGAAGAAAAACATCTGCATATGGGAACTAATTAAGATGGAAATATTTATTATCACAGGAGTTTAAAAAATAATCTTTTTAACCACAAATCTGCTTTTTCACAGTGCAGAAGGCCCTTACTCTCTTCAAGATTCTTATTTTTACATACAAAGAAGAATTTACACACAATTTGATTACATTCTTTCTACCTACTTACGGTACTTTCTGCCAAGGATGGAAACTATTTAGCTCAAAAACTCTGCTACTATGATTTGTTTCTCACTGCAAAATGTATGCATAAAATGCATTTCAATTGCCAAGGTATGCACTGAGCCAACAAAATGACCCAGATATTGCACTAGCTGTGGGATCTGGCTTGGTTATAAAGAGTAGTGTGGAAGGCAGAGATTCAGTATTAAAAGAGGAGAAATGAAAACAATAAATGAAAAACTCCTCGCCTTATACCAAATATATATTGCTACTTTTGAATTTCAACAAATAAGGTTTTGTTTTTAAAATTGTTGACTGAAACTTGGTGGATTCCCTTTTAAAAAGCCATGTGGGAAGGATGAAAGGAAATGGGTAGTAAAGCAGAACTGGTGCACACGTGCAGGCAGTAGGATCTATCGCATATAACCAACACTCTTCACTTATTCAACCATTTCTTGTGTCTGCAGCTGAGGCATGCAGTGATGCTGGTTGTTCCGCAGGTAGCAAAGACTTTTAAAAAATATCTCCGAATACACTGCCATGGAGTAGCTGTGACTCTAGACTGAACTTTCCACCACAGCCGACACTTGCCCACTGTCATGTTATTGCTTTTCCACTGGACGAGCCAGTGGAAAAGGAGAAATGATTACTCCAGCAAATCAAGTGTGGTTCAAGGAGCAGAAGTATTCCATGATAGAAGGAGAAGAGGATGTGTGATGTGTAATATCCTTCCTTCCATGCTAGCATGAACAGAGGACCCATATCTAGAGAACATTTATTCTGTTCAGTATAAGCCACTGCTAATCCTTGTCTTCTATTACCACTTGCCTGCCACCTGTGTGGTGCTAGCACTCATGATGGAAACTCAGCTTCAGCTGGCACCATACTGCAACAAATCTTTGATTTTCCAAAAATACAATGTCACAAAAGATCAAACGCACTATGGTTGCACCAAGCACGTCGTATAGCACTGCATTATGGGTAAATAAAAATGCCAGCTACCCATCCATTGGAACTCAGCAGTTACATAGCTCTAACAGGAAGCATGGGCGACGAAATCTGCCAGAACTGGAGAGGATTTACTGCTGAAAATATTTCCATCGCAGCAAAACATTCAGAGTAAAGACGCACTTGCTGCGCTTCCATTGAGAAGAAGTACATATCTCAATTGACTTTCACAGAAAGCTTGCTGCAAATCTTGTCAGTGTTCCTGGATTTGGGAGTATTGCAAGATGTTTAGCTGAACTGGTAATTTGCTTTTACTATTCAGGAATTCCCAGTCCTCAGTGAGACACTGCTAGGTTTTTGATGGAGAGGGGAGGACAGGAATTAAGATAGGTACATATCGCAGTTACAGATTACAGAAAGGAACATATTTCTATTCGATCAATTCTCCCATCCTGTTTTCTACACCTAGTGCCTTCTTGTCCAAAATGCAACTTATCCCATCTCTTTCATACAAACACACTGCTCCCTTCTGCTATACCAATTTTTTGGCAGCATTGCATTAGGAGGAAAGACTGGAAGCACCCACTCGGCTTCCCAATAGGAAGCCTGCCAGCACTCCTGGGTAGGTTATTGGAAGTGAGGTGGGCCTGACCAGTAGTGGCGCTTTTACCCCCCCCCCCACCTATCAACAGTACTGCATGAGGAACCCAGAAGGAGGCAGACAAGATAGGACGGGATTCCATCCAAGAGGCCCTGCAGGGATGACTGCTCGTCAAAAGCTGCCTGTACAATTGATAGTGCAATCTCTGCAAGCCTCTTAAACCTTTGATAATGGGGCAGTTGCTCAGTCTGCCCAGTTCCAACTCTGTTTATTTACCCTACATGGGAGGAGAGAGTAAAAACAATGATGAAAGAGATTCTATCCATTGTATTTTCAAAAAGCCATAGACCATACTGAATTGAAAAGGAGTTGTGCCAGATGAGAGCTGTGCTCTTAGACTAGTCCCAGAAGGTTAACACAAAGCTGACACCATATCTTGTACATGTTACACTTAAAATATTCTTGTATCTCAAAAGTTGGTGTGTCGTTTGGACCTATGCATTTCCAAACAAATACAGGGATGTGCAAAAAAGTTCCATTTAAGCAATATATTGCACATAAAGTTTAAAATTGTTGTAAAGATACAATGTTTTTGAGATTTAAAATAGTTCTACCTGTACAGTAAATACTAATTTTTAAAACCCATTTTACCCAAAATTGATGCACATAATACTGACAATGCTTTAAAATTGGACAATATACATATAAATTACATTTGTAAATGTGTACAATTAAATACCATAAAATTTCACAAATCAGCCACATTGCTGACAATTTTCTTGCTTATACCACCAGAAATACCATCCAAGAAAACAAAGAGATTTGCAGTGTTAGACAAAGCACTGGAAAATGTTAAAGCATTTCTGCTTTTAGAGGTAGTGCCACCCACATCCAACCAGAAATTCATCTCCAAACTTGGATAGAGCAATGTAGTAAAAGGTAAAAAGACTATAAAATTTACAAAAATAAATAAGTTTCAAATGCTTTAGAAAATTGAGAGGATTTTGTTGCCAAGTATCTTGTAGTTCTTTCAACAAAAGGGAAGAGATCTGTAGGCCATTAAATATTTTCAAAATATATCTCTGTTTACTGAGGCCACAAATCCAAATATGCAACTCCAGTGAATCCCAAATGAGAATTTGGTTGAATATTAAAAATAGAATCTTTAGACTTCAGAAGATGTCCCCCCTCTTATGAAAATTGCTGCTATGCAAATTCTTCAGACAGATTAAAAATTGCACATTTTTAAAAGTGAGAATTGTGGGAATAAGGAACATGTGCAAGAGACACATTCTGCACATATACCCTAGGATTTTTTTTAAAAAAAAGATTGCACAATTGATTCAATAAATACTACATTTTACATGACAGCATGCCACTTTTTTGGTTTATATTTGAGTTTTGGAGGCTTTGAGAGAACCATTCAATTAAGTCTCTAGCTGCTGTTTTGCCAGAATACTTTGCAGCTTACTTGCCTGCTTCTTTCTCTCTGTGGTTTGATCTTCCAACCAGTGTCACGTGGCAGCACAGAACAAAGTATCTTTGGATTTTTAAAAAGTATCAGGACCCTACAAGAATTTCCATGATGTGGTCCAAATCACTGACATCACTTCTACAGACTGGCATATTGTTTGCTGAGGAAGAATTGCAGGAGGGGAATGTTTTCAAGATCTCATCTGTGGCTGCCACAGTCAATGCTCTTGGGGGAATGAGTGAGGGGCAGTCAAAGTCTGAATCATACATGGAAGTGTCAATATCTTCAAAGATGTCATCAATAGCCAAATCTTTCAAGTAACTAGTTGAGTTTGAAATTTCAAAGGAGCCAAATGCACATTCCACTCCTTTCAAGTCTTGTCTGTCATCTTCTAACCTAAGACATGGTGTTTCTGTAGTCTTGATCTGATCATCAACAGATCCAGCAAGGTAGGTAGGTGGACTCACATCCTCCATGAAGTCCAGGTCTTTCAGAATAGAAGAAATGGCTGATGACATGTCATTGTCAGAAACCATCAGCAAATTATTTTCAATCGGACCTTCCACAGACCGTAGCTCAGCATTGGGTTCCTGCTGATTCATAGCGGGGAGGAAGTGTGAAGGCATTCCAAAGAAATCCATTCCCAGGCAACTGGAAGGGCCAACGCTGAAGCCACTACACATATTAATGACCTGCTGGCTAGTTTCCTGCCTCATTTCCTCTTGAATTTGTCGGACTGTGTTGGCAATAAGGACTGAGCGGTGCAAGTTTGGTTCCACCAACATTTTGTATGTCTGAAGTTTGGCGAGGCACACGTTAAGCACCAGCTGCCTCTTGAGTGGATATGGCAGGTTTCGACTGGAATCAAAGGCACTTGACACACCAGCCATGGTCTCTTCATAATCACTCAGTTTGCGTTTCAGTCCCCTCCCCAACATGAACCTGGAACAGAAACAACACAATGACACAACAACTGATCATTTCTACAACATGGTCAATGATACAATTGAAACAACACTTCTCCACTTATCAATAATCCCTATAATTTTTGCTAGCGCTTCTGCGGGGTTCCTGCAGCACCCAGACGTAAATGGGCAGTAACATCAATTTGGCTGTGCAGGACTGATGCAGCACTGTGTGCACACACAACTTAGAAGGAACATTGTTGCGTTTCTATCCATTTTTTCTTCCAGCAAAGAACAGAATGTGATGATAATTCAGATCTGCTTCATTTCAACCAGTGTCAGATTAGAATTTATCATTGTATTTGGGATTATGAAGCAATCCAACCCTGTTTAAAACAACAGTAGTAGAGGCCCAGCGGAAGGGCATAACGCAAAGAAAGAAGGGCTGAACTAAATCCAAGAGGGTGCCGTCATGGTTAACGAGCAGAGTTAGAGAGGCTTTAAAGGGCAAGGAGGGGTCCTTCCATAAATGGAAATCCTTCCCAAATGAGGAAAATAAAAAGGAACACAAACTCTGGCAAAAGTAATGGAAGAATATGGAAGGCAAATAAAGACTTTGAGGAACACATGGCCAGCAAGGACTTTGAGGAACATATGGCCAGCAATATAGAGGGGTATAATAAAAGCTTCTTTAAATATGTTAGAGGCAGGAAACCTGCCAGAGAAGCGGCTGGCCCTCTGGATGGTGAGGGAGGTAAAGGGGAGGTAAATGGGGACTTGGAGATTGCAGAGAAATTAAATGAGTTCTTCGCATCTGTCTTCACAACAGAAGACCTTCGGCAGATTCTGCTGCCTGAACAGCCCTTCCTGACTAATAGATTGAATAAAATACAGGTTAAAAGATAGGATGTTTTAGACCTAATTGATAAAATGAAGATCAATAAGTCACCAGGCCCAGATGGCATCCACCAAGGGTTATTAAGGAACTGAGGAATGAAGTTGCTGATCTCTTAACTAAAATATAAAACTTGTCCCTTAAAACCGTCACAGTGCCAGAGGACTGGAGGATAGCACGTCACACCAATCTTTAAAAAGGGACACCCCCCCCCTTGCGAAACTACAAGCCCGTTAGCCTAACTTCTGTTCCAGGGAAGGTGGTGGGAAGCCTCATACAAGATAAAATCTTAAAACACATAGGGGTAGGCATCCTTCAGTCTCAAGAGACTATGGTAACGTGCTCTGAATAGAGGTCTTGGAACATCATCTAGTGTGGCTGAGGAGGCCAATTCAAGAGTGACAATCCCTTCCACACTGAAGACAAATACAATTTGTCCCACCCAGCTCACACAATACTAGAACCAGGGGACAGCCACTCCAATCGAGCGTTGGCAGAGTGAGAACAGACAAAAGAAAAGATTTCTTTACCCAGCATGTTGTTAGTCTGTGGAACCTCTTGCCACAGGATGTGATGATGGCATCTGGCCTAGGTGCCTTTAAAAGGGGATTGGACAGATTTCTGGAGGAAAAGCCCATCGCAGGTTACAAGCCATGATGGGGATGTACAATCTCCAGGCTTAGAAGGAAGGTACCCCAAAATGCCAGATGCAGGGGAAGCGTATCAGGAGACAGGTCTCTTGTCTTGTGTGTTCCCAGAGGCATCTGGTGGGGCCTCTGTGAGGTAGCTGAACTAGATGGGCCCCTGGCCTGATCCAGCAGGGCTCTTTTTATGTTCTTATGTTAACACGTGTGTTCGTGTGTGTGTGTGTGTCCCATGACCAGAATAAGACTGCATATTCAATTATTTTATTTTTATTTATTTAAAATATTTCAATGCTGCCTTTCCCCCCAAAAGGACCCAAGGTGGCTTACATTACAAAAACAGTATTTAAATCAGTAAGTATACATATATTTTTAAAAAATTAAATTAAGTACTATAAAATGGTAACTAAGATCAATACTGTATTAAAGCACATTTAAAAGAGAGCACAAGTCCATTTAAAACCCCTCTCAGACCATGTCTTTGCCTGCCTGCAGAAGGGCAGCAAAATCAATGCAACAAGTTTAATTTTCATAATGTATACAGATTGCACAATGTGGATTAACAACCTAGCAGCATAATTTGATGATTTTAGTGCTGACACCAGAAAAAAAGATTCTTTCTCCCCGACAAGGGCCGGAATCCAGTTGCTAGTTCCAATCGGAGTAGAAGTTTAATCAATAGCTGGATTGTAAGTCAACAACTGCACTGATTCAATAGCCTTCCTCTTGTTGGGACTAGCAACTGGCTTTCAGCCAAGATATAAAACATTCACATTACAATTTCAATATCCACATCCTGCCATTTGAACTGAAACTGGTTTATGTGCTGAAGGGGAGCTGGGCTCTCCAATGAATTCTTTTGATGTTGACCATACAGATGCCCTCCCTTCTCTTCTCCGCACAACTTACAAACTTTGGACTTTAAGTCTTGGCACACACAGAAAGCAGCTCTCAGAGAGGCGATTATAGACTTCCTACTACATTCTGGTTACACAGCTCTGTTTTAAATGTAACAACTTCCACATGGAGAGAAATGGCATTAAAATATCTTTCACAGCTGCAAAAGTTTTGGTCAAAATCTCAGCCTATGAGGTGCTTTGGAGAGCAGGCTTTTAGCAGGACTCTTAGTACATAAAAGGAAATCCCTACAAAGGAAGAAATTTGTACTGAAGAGACAAAGGAATGATCCTGTCAAAGTTTAATATGTGAAGGAAGGAAAAAGAAATGAAGCCCTTGCAGCAGCCGTCTTCCAACCTGGTACCCTCTAGATGTGTTAGTCTATAACCTCAATACTGTTCAATTAAAAGGGTAGCTGGAGGTGATGGGAGATGTTACCCATCATACCCTGGAAGGCACACTGGGTTAGGGAAGGCTGGTCTACAGCAATGGCTCTTGGAAGTCTGCTGTTTAGCGAAGTGCATGCATTACTGCTCCTTCAACAACTGCTGCTGCAGAAACTTTACACTGCCTTGTTTCAGAAGACATCTGGGGATCATCTGGATGATCTGTTGTTAAAAAAAAAAGTGGTCTTTTGTGTGGTCTGCTGGTATGCTTCCAGTCTAGGCCAATGGTGTTGGTAATGACATTTAGAGTCCCAGGTAAGGTAAAAGTTCCCCTTGACATTTAGTCAGTCGTGTCCTATAAGGCAGTGGTCCCCAACCTTGGGCCTCCAGATGTTATTGGACTTCAACTCCCAGAAATCCTGGCCAGCAGAGGTGGTGGTGAAGGCTTCTGGGAGTTGTAGTCCAAACATATCTGGAGGCCCAAGGTTGGGGACCACTGCTATAAGGCATGGTGCTCATCTGTATGGTCAAAATTCCCATAGTGGTACCTATTTATCTACTTGCATTTGCATGCTTTAGAACTGCTAGGTTGGCAGGAGCTGGGACAAGCGACGGGAGCATGGATTCGATCTTACGACTGCTTGTCTTCTTACTTTGCAGCACAGAAGCTTCTGCAGTTTAACACACAGCGCCACCATGTCCCCCAAATAACTTTGTTATGGGTTGTCGAGTCACTTCCAACTTATGGCAATCAGAGTAACAGGAGAGCAGGGGAATGATATGCCACTTGCAGCACAGAAGTAAAGAGTACTCTATAGTATAGAGTCTATACCTAGAAAACCCTGGAACAGATTGCCCAACTCAAAATTGACAACAGCACAGAATTATTATTATTTAAAGTGACCTCATGAACAACCCCAACTGTGTTGTGCAAACCCAAGACCGTGAGTTGCTTTATTTAATCAATCTCTCTCACACACATTCAATCTTCCTCTTTTTGTACTGCCTTCAACCTTCCCCACTATCATGGTCTTTTCCAGTGAATCTTCTCATGATATCTCGTATATCCACAATCTGATAGCCTCAGTTTGGTCAGCAAAATAGCTAAACTTCTAAATAGCTTGGGACTGTGATTCTTGAAAAAGCTGCAGCCCCAGTTGTGGAATACCTCCATTGGTTAGTCTGAGGGGAATCAATAGACTCATTGCAATGTCACATTAAACCCAAATCTTTGCCCAAGGTTTTGGAACCCAGTGATAATGGCTTAGATCTGATTTCTGGGGTTCTGTATTTCTATGTATTGCATATACTTACTATCTTTGTTTAGTGCTCTAACATGAGGTTACAGGATTAGCCCACAATATATACATGTTCTTAAAATTTACAGTTTTTCTCTGCTGACATATCTAACTCTATTCAGTAATTTAAGAAATCTATATTGTTGCAGAGACTGCTAAAATCAGTAAAGGCTTCATTTCCTGGATGCTGAATTATGCAACTCAGTACATAATGGATAACGTCTACATAGTTTTTGTAACATGAAGCAAAAGTTGTGCCCATTTGCACTAGGGCAACAATAGGATTTTCTCCCATGAGTTGATCTCTTCAAGAATCTCTAGAACAAACCAACTATAAGACAATGCAGTATTAATACTGCAAGAAACTGAAATTACACAAATTCTGTTTGGCAAAAAGGAAAGAGGCACTGCTTCAGTTCAGCACCTTTTAATGTTATTTCCCTGGAATTAAAATCTATCAATGACAGATTGAGGGTCTCACTTGGACGTGACAAGTTACCAGCATTAACCTTAAAGGGATAAAATCCCTCCACCTAGCAATCTTACACCCCCTCCCCCAGACTAGAGTGAGATAACTCACATGCAAAATTTACTGCATTAATCTGGGGGACAACTATGATTATGGTTGTTGTAGGTTTTTCAGGCTGTTTGGCCATGTTCTGAAGAAACTTCAGTACACGGCCAAACAGCATGAAAAACCTGTAACAACCATTGGATCCCGGCCATGAAAGCCTTCGAGTAAACTGTGGATTATCTTTCCAGCTTGTTTATGCAAGCTATATAGATGCTACAGTGGGGTCTTGACTTAAGAATGGCTCGAGTTAAGAACATTTTGACTTAAGAACCACTCTCATAGGAAAATATTGACTTGACTTACATACTTAGATTTGAGTTAAGAACTGAAAAAAAACCACGTG